CTCACAAGAATCCTCTCCCGTAACCCTGTGACCAAACCCAGGTTTAACCTATTAATTTGCGGTCCTATCCAAGGCACCTGTGGACTCACTCTGTAATGTTATTTATTGAAAAGCAGGGAAAGGGAAGAATAAGGTTCCTTAGCAACTATTTGAGATTAAGTTGAGAACCACTAAAGTCATGTACATACACAAGACTTGGTGGCTCATGCTTGAAATCCCAGTGCTTGGGATGTTGTAGCAGGGGGATAAAGTATTAAATGTCATCTTGAGCTATGTAGCCTGAGATCTTGCTTCAGAAAACCAAAACCAAACCAGAGCAGACCAATTAAGTCATGTTTATGGCTCTTGCTAATAAGCTACTTATGCTTCAATCTCTCTTGATTAGCCTTCCTACATTTGGGTATGTTTTATCCTCCCCCTGAAGGTCAGTTGTTCTGTTAACCTCTGTGCTGAAATCAGTCAAATGTCTCTTTGTAATGAACTCCAATTCTGCTTCATGCTGGATAACTTTGAAATTCTTTGCTGCAGCAAACCTCAGTTTCACCCCAACAAAGGTCTCCAAATAGAGCTCCATAGGCTACAGCTGGTAACCACAGAGCAGCAGGATATCTCAGGGTCTCACCCCAACTACTGCTGATGCGGCACTTTGAAAATAGACACCTGGAGTGGATACCAAAGAAGGGATACCAGTTGTGTTTGGATATTGAGATCTTCTGAGCTGGACCTGGTGGTCACAGTAGAAGTGGAGAGTAGTAACGGGGCCTCATATGCATTTTGAAATTATGATTAAATGAGATTAGCAGTAAATAAGAGAGAGCTATAGAAGGGTACCAGAGTTTTAGTCTAAATAGTAAGAATGGAAATGCCATTTACTGAAAATCCATAGAGAAGTTAGGGAAGAACAGACCAATGAAGGAAACCCAGTTCCTGAAAATGTTAAGGATTTGAGATACTTATTAGAGCTTCTTGAGAGATGCTGTGTGCAGGTGAGTGAGGCTCAAAGAAGAGGGTCATATTGAGTAAATAATAATTTGGAAGTTAACAATTACTCAATGAGAACTCAATGCAGTAATCTAAGAACCGAATGTGGTTGGAAAAGAGTGAAGATCTGAGCACTGAGCTTCAGAACACTTCAGTGTTGAAGATTTTGGCACAGGAAGTTCCAACAAAGCAGACTAGGAAGAAGTAACCACAGAGGGATCAGAAAAACCAGCAGAGTAGAAGAAGGTGCCTTGAGTTGAAGGGACTGGTCTTCAAAGTTGAAGTTGCTGTTGAATGTAAGATTGACCGTTGGCCATTGGATTCAGCCATGTGCAGTCACTGGGAATCTGGAAAACAGTGTTGGCGTGTGCAAGAAGAACACCCAGAATTGGGCTCAGGAAATCATAACGGTGCGTTAGGGAAGTGACAAAATACAGGCATCCTCTGTTGAGCTTTCCCTGTAGAGGGAGAAATGTGGAAATGCGTGTCAAGAACTCAACTATTAATGAATGTGTTGTTTTCCACTCTTACTTCCCTGTGTATCTATAACTATGATGCAAGTCAGTTCTGAATTTTATTTTTTCTTCTTGCAACTCCATATCATGAAGTTGTATATGACCAGTGTCCCTATCTGTACTTCTTGGTTTCATAACATTCTCTTGTGCTGTACTTCTTGTGACAATTTTTTTTTGTTTTCTACTGAGGAGTTTTAGATTAACCAAGTCTGGTGTATTCTTACCTTTTTCTTCCATTAGAACTATTTCTTTTGAAAGTGTTTCCTAAGATAAACATACTAATTTAAGCAGTGAATTATTTTACTCTTGTCTTTTCTTCAGATGTCTGTGCATTTTGCTTTTCTGCCCATAACCTCTAGGCTCTTCCTGGTGAACTCCAGATCTATGTATATGCTTATTGCTTTATGTCTTCCCTTAAAATTGATGGAGATGCTTCATACCATTTTCTCCCTGACTCTTATTTTCTTCACTGCGGATTGTACTAGACAGAGAAGAATGCAGTATCGTATTTTGGCTCACAGACACATTCTATTACCTAAAAAGCTTACAGAGGTAGGATGAAGTCTTTTAGGTCATAGACTCCAAAGCACATTAGAGGCATCTCAAGACCTTTGAGCAATTATTATATACAAGTGTCATTGAGATTTACTTGCACAGCAGACTCGCTGAATATGACACCTGCATATTTTAAAAAATTTTCAGGTCATTGAGTAGATAGCTCAAACTGAGAACCACTATACCAGACAGTGGCAGGATGCAATAAAGCCTCTTGCTTTTCCCTTCCAAAATTCCATCTCTTTTAAAATCAAGTTTCCATCCAAAATGAGGCTAACTAAAAATAGTAGTCTTGCTGTGGATGACTCTGAGGCAAGAGTGACCAGCAAGTTTCTGAAAGCTTGTAAATGGCATACCATTTAGCAAAGGAGTCTGAGGCCCAGAAACTATGGGCTAAATAAGTCGGGTATGGGGTGCTTGCAGTAGTCTGACTCCCAGGTCCTTACCTGCCCTTCTAGGGTGCCACTATGGGTCCACCCAGCTTGTTACTGTCCAAAGTTCTTGACATTTGCTTCACTCTAACAGTTTTATATTGAACTCCTTAGAATAATCGCCAGATTCCCTCTGAAGCCCTCCCCTTTAGTGTTTGCCGTTGCTACGCCATGTTTAGCTTTCGACTTTTCTAGTCAGTTTGCTATGGTGAATTATCATAGCATCCCAGTGACTGGTGCCAGCACTGAAGAATAAATGCTGAATGAGATGAACAGTTAAATGGAAAAGGGATTGTTTTTATATAACTGGGTAGAAGTTAAAGTTGAATGATAACTCCTCTGTAGTGTCTTAGATTGTAAGCATAGATTTCTTTAGGACATCTTTAAAGAAATGCCTTTTTATCTTATTCTCTGATGATGTCATCATTTTGTAAAAACTTTTAAGATCCAATTCTATGTCTAGTATTTCTCTCTTTGGATAATGTTTCACAAGAAAAGGAGAACTCTTTATTTTCCCCCATGACTGTTCATGTACAAATCGAGCATTATTCACCAAAGAAGAGTATTACTGGGGAGAAGACAAAAGGTCACTTTCTGGTATAGTGGGAGACCATCATTCTCAACAGCTTTGATTTCTTTCTGGGAAACTTAGTCCCGTTTTCTAATCTGGGCCAAGGCCTCACTGTGTATCTCAGGCTGGCCTTGAACAGGACTCCTGTCTTAACACTGTTGGTATCATGCATGTGCTCAGTTTAGGCCTGGTTTAGGAGTGGTTTTGGTTTTGAGGCACTTGGGGTTGAGTATGGCGTGTCCTCATTTCAGGGTCTCTCTGAGCCTTTGACATCTCTATGCCTGATCTCTTTTCCAACACAGTCACGTCTCACTTCTGCTGTTTTGAGGCTTATGTTACTTAGCTCTTGAAGCATCTAGATCCTAGATCATAACATGGCTTGTGGAATTTCTTGCCTGAGACTATTTACCCTGAATGAAAAATGTATTGTACTTGACTCTCAAGAAATTTATTCATTGTAAAAATAAATAAATAAGTCACATGACAATTGACACGCATTTTCCCTCTCCCTCTTGGAAACATTGGTCTGTAGTTCTGCTTCTCTCTTCCAAGCTTTGACCATTTTGGGCTGTTGTGTGGATGCTTCTGGAGTGAGTTGTCCTAAGATCGACTTCTGACTTATTTGGTTGTTCTGTAAAGCTCTTTACTGAAGTCATCCTCTGTTCTCTGCTCAGGCTATTATCACAAAATATCACAGACTGGGTGGCTTAAGCCACAGACATTGATTTCCCATCATTTTCAAGCTAAGAAGGTACAGGGACAAGGTACTGGCACACTAGGTTCCTGGTGAGGGCCCTCTTCCTATCTGGCAGATAGCTGTTTTCGTGCTGTGAACTCAGATGACTTTTCTTTAGTGGGTTCCTTCCGATAAGGACATCGATCCCATGATGAGATCTATACCTTCATGACCTGATTACTTCCCAACAGCCCATAATATCATTACACCATAGTTTAGATTTTAACATATGAATTTGGGACAGGGTTATAGTTCAGCCCACAGTATTCTCCATCAAAAGATAATTGCTAATTCTTGGTTTCTGATACAGAACAAGATGAAACAACAGGACTTTTCCTGTAAACCCAGTAGGCTTCGTTTCATGTTCCTTTAGATTAGTCTAATACAGTGTTTTCCCAAATATCCTATCCTTTCTGCAGATAAACACAATACACAATTAGTACATAAATTCATATTCTCTAACGTGCCACATCAGAAGAAAAACCATGGAATTCTATTTGCCGTATTTATTAACCAAATGGCTGCCCTCCTCTCCACTGCGCACAGCACATTTATGGATAGAACAGGCTTGTTGCTCACTGCGCTGTACCTCACAGCAGCTCCACGCACCATCAGAAGTGTGCATTTTTAGGAAGCAGACAAATTACCCTGTTTGTAAAATTTAGAATTAATTGGGTGGAAGGCTTTACAGAATTAGCAATCTGTTTGGATTAGTAGAAATATATTGTGCTTTGTGTTCCAGAGCGGCAAGCTAAATATAAATGCATTGTCAGGCAGATTTACCTGGAGTATTTTAGTACTATCCTCCTCCTCCTTAGCTAATCCACTCAGCGGAGGCAAATTTTAGTCTCATTTTGATCTCCTTGTGTCATCATATCATTGAGGTGGGGTCTGGATTAACAGGACTTTACATGGAGCCACTCAGAGTTATTGTCTTTTCCTCATTTGTTGAAGATGTTTCAAGGTGATGCATCCATGGATAAGGCCTTTAAAGAGCTCATAGCTGTCTTGGTTATAAATCAAAGCTTCCAAATGCCATTTCCCTTCTGGAATTATCATAGGGTCAGCTCCATCAGAGACTTTGAAGATCTTGTAAAGACTGTTTAAACTCCTTAGAATTACTAAGTATCTTGCATAAAAAGAATCCAGAGTTGAATTTCCTCCCTTGATGTTGAAGGGAAAACTGAAGTGGGCGGGTCTTTTCCTTACAGGAGAATGCTGTGAATGGGGAGCACCTATGGCTGGAGACCAACGTCTCGGGTGACCTCTGCTACCTGGGGGAGGAGAACTGCCAAGTCCGATTTGCAGTGAGTATGTCCCATGATGTCCACTTAATCTTTCCAGGAAACAGCCTCTATGTCTGTGAGCGATAGGGAGGAGAGGAGCAGTGTGCCCAAATATCCCAGGATGCACTTGGAAAGACTCTATCCTCATGACATAGAACTTGCCTCTTGCTTTTAGGATTTACAGATTGTATATCAAGTTCTCATGGCTCCAGGTTGTAAACTTTAAAGACTTTAGGGTTTCGTTGGGTAGGCTTCACATTAGTGTATTTGATGCCAGCCACCATAGTGGTTGTGGGTGGCTGTTGTCCACTGGGAGTCAGCGAGAGGGTTCATGTAGATGAGGGAATGTCACCAGTGTGTTTTGTGGAGTGACAGGAGGCCACAAAGATGGAGGGAGTGATCCCTCTGAAAGATGGTGGCCAAGGGTTGGGGCTATGGGTGTTGAAGGTGGAAACAACCATGTGGGATATGAATGAGGTCATCCTCTTTCCACACTGAGATCTGGAGAGCATAATTCCAGAAATGATTTGATAAATCAACAACCACGTGAGTAGGAGTGGCTTTTACTTATTAAAACTCACTTTGTGCCCGTATTTAGGGTTTAAACTTCTCTTCAGGATCTAGGCTTGGGAGCACATACCTAAAATCACAACACTGAGAAGGATGTAGGATGACAAATTTGAGAGCAGCTTGGGTCACATAGTCTCTTAGTTTCCTATTTCTGTTACTGTGACAGAATATGCTTTAAGGGGCAAAGATTAATTAGATTTGCAATTTCAAGTTATAGTCCCCCATTGCAGGGGAGTCATGGCAGGAACTTGGACATACATTCATACCCACAATCAAGAGCAGAGAGAGAGTGAACACATGCATGCTTACTTGTTCTTAGCCCCTTCTTTACATTTTATATTGCTTAGGATAGTCTGCTTAGGGAATGGTGTCACTCACAGTGGGCTGGGTCTTCCCACCTCAATTAATGTAATCAAGACAATCTCTGATAGACATACCTGCAGGCCAGCCTGATTTAGACAACCCTTATTGACATATTCTCTTTTCAGTTTTCCTGGATTGTGCCAATTAGAACTAAAAATTGCATAATAGCAGAACTGACCCTGGTGGCTGGGGCATGAGTGAGCCGGCCAGAGGGTGTGAGCATGGGAGAACCGGCCCTGTCTCTTGTCTGCTGTATGATGGCACCATCTAGGGAGCAATGCCTTCCATTCCCTTTTGCCCTCACCACTGGTGGTGGACAGGAGAACTAGCCCCCTGAGTCATGAAAGCAGGAGAGCTAATCCTGCCCCTCACCTGCTGTGGTACTCAGGAGAGTGGCCCCTGCACCTCACCTTGGTAGCAGGATAGAGCTGGCCCTGGTTGCAGGGTTTTCTGGTGAGGCATGAAGGTATGAGAGTGGGAGAACTGGCAGGCTTACCAGCTCAGATACTTCTTAGGCCAAGATCCAAGTTTTTGAATTGGCCCACTCTAATATCAACTGCTGGAGTTCATGAAGCGGCTGGTTCTATAAATCCATACCTATAGGACCTCCATAACACAGAGCAACAACAGGAGGAGTCCCAGTGAGGATCCAGCATTGATAAAGTACCAGACCAAGGTGTCACTGCAATGAACATTTTTGCAAGCGAGGAGTGTGGACAAAAGGCCATACTGTGGGATACACTGTGACACTACAGCTTCCACAAGGAGATTATTTTTTTCTTTTGTTGCTGGGAGGTAGAGCTACAAGGGGAGGGAGAACGAGTGGGATTGGGGTACATGATGTAAAATTCACAAGAACCAATAAAAAGTTTTGTTTTTTTAATTGCATTTTAGTAAGACCCTATCTCAAAAAATTCAAGGGCAGAAGATGTAGCTCAGTAGTAGAATACCTGCCTAGCGTGTGTAAGGCCTTAGGTCTAATTCCCAGTGCTGAAAAGAGAAAAGAAACCATGAAGACTGAACAGTGACTGTAAGTAAGTAAGTAAGGGAGAGACTGAGCATTTAATGCTGAGAAAGTAGGCTTAATTTTTGCCCACATTTAAAAACTTAATCTGAAAAATAGAGTGACAGTAAACTTGGAATAGAAAAAAAAAAACAAAGAAGAGAAGACTTTAAGGAAATGATGTCATAACTTACATAGTACTTTACAGGGATTTTTATTTTTATTATTACGCATGGAAATGGTCTGAGCAAAATGTAAGGCATTGGGACGATAAACAAATGGGTTTCTGTTAACAAGGACGAAGCCGAACTTCTCTCCAAGCTTGTAGAGGAGTAAGGCACCTGAGGACTTCCTGGGGCTGCTAAGACTAGCACGTCTCAAAATCAGGACCTTTCCCCCTCATGATAGCAGCTTTGATCACTGCACCCACAACATAATTGTTTAGAGAAACGTTGTTGTTTTGGGGAGAGGTCTTTGTTTAATGGATATAGGGAACAACCAAAGGTCCTGGAGTGGCCCAGATGAACAAGTCAAGAAACTTGGCTTCGGATCTCCATGTTTCAACCCACCGTGTGACATTGAGGATTCATGACCTTTGGGTGGCGGCTACCTTCTAGACAGAAAAAGAGAGTAGGATTGAATTGCTTTTAATTTTGTTTCTAATTTGGATCTGTAATTAATCGTTTGCATTTCTTCTAATCTTGTTGTGAATTCAATTGATTTAAATATCAGCATTCCAACTTTATGCATATGTAGTTTTAATTAAATTATAATTGCATGGGGTTTGATTAAATTAACCAAATCTGTGAGAAGCTCAGCTGTTTGGACTAAAATGCTATAAATAATGAATTAACATTAAGGTGTTAGATAATTGTGTAAACACTGGTCTGGGATATCAGATAGCATGAAATGGAAGAAATGAAGCTAGCTTTGCCTGGGCATATGTGCTATATAGATCCTTCTGTCACCAGTTGGAGTGGCTCATTACCTAGTCCTGCCTCTCTCCAAATTGCTCCCACTGGTCCTATCCTGGGCACTCATTTTGGGACAGCTGCTTGTTATTTCTCTTGGCAAATACGTGAATTAATACAGGTACCTCATTTTCTCAGCATGTCACTAGGTAGGGCAGGATAACCTTTGTATAGCTGGTGCTGAGATTCTTCTGCCTCAACTGCCCTAGTTTCGCAGTTACAGGTATGTCATCAGACCCAGCTCCAAACTAAGCATTTCCACACTGAGCATTTCTATCCATCGTTGTTTGGCTATTACCTCTACACCAGGACAAACATAGAGCAAATAGTGATGTCAGCATAAGATCCAGGGTAAAGTTTGGAAAGCTCTGTGTCCTAGAATCTCTTCCCCTGTGAAGTGGAGAAGTGTTGTGTGAGAATTTGATGCAAGGCATAGGCAGGAATTAAAATTAGAGGCAGGACAGGAGCAGACCAGACGCAAGAGGAATACATTGCCAATCTGTATACATGAGACATGTAAGCAAAGCCACCTAGACGAAAACAGCCCTGAGGAGGCAGTCAGTCCCCATGAGCCTCTTTAATTAGCGGAGGCTTATAAAATGACGAGTTCTGGTACTGCTGGTTTAGGCTGAGATGGCCTGTCTCCTGATCACTTGACAGGAGTGTAAATGAACAGTCATCACGTAACTGGCGGTACGTGGTAAAGGCGTTCAGTAGCTTCCGCCTCCACCCACTCCATACTGCGATGCGTGGGCCCTCTTGAATGCCATGTTTTGGGAGAGACATTGACAAGTAATGCGAGATCCAGAGGAGAGTGACCAAGGTGGTTTAGAGTATGGAACTCTGTGGTAAAGAAAAATTCAGTAGCACGGTTACAACTGAGTATTAAAGAAGGAATGTGTGGAGGAAGAACTCCTATTATTTGAAGAGCTGCTTTGAAGGAAATTTCGACACATAATGAAGATTGAGCCCAACTCTAGATCTAGACCCAGGGACTCTTAACAGTGGTCATGACCCTCCAATGGTCACAAGGTTCCCCTGAGGCCCTTGTGAGCCATTTCGTTTACAATTTCCCTCCCTGCAAAGGGCTGACTCGGCTGTGCCTGGAGGTGAACTTTTTAAACACGTGATTTTAAGAAGCACAGTAAATTCTCTGATGCAGGTGGCACACAAGCTGCCATAGCACAACATTGTCCCGCAAGGCACTTAGGTACCAGGAGAAAGCGGCTTAAAGGATGTGTTTAGGTGTGATGTAGATGGCTCTCTGTCAGGGATGCTGGAGAGAGGATAGTGCCTACTTCCAGCAAGAGTTCAGACAAGGAAGATGCTATTCTTGCAACTTCCTTCGAAGTGGATGAAATTTCTGTGAAAAAGCATGCCCATATAGAGTATGTATTAGATTTATGCTTCCCCCATGTGCCACATCTGAAGAATGAAGACCTGTTGATGCTATTGTAGTTAAGTACCACCAGCTGGCTTTTTACCGAGTACAGCAGAGTGTTTGGGGTAGGGGTGAAGGAAAACATCTCCAAAGAGAGACCTTTCCCATTTCACTCCATTTTAGCCAAGGAAGGGTCATATGAAGTTAAAAGGGAAATCCATGAGACTGGATGTAGACAGTGGCTGCCTCACAGACCCGGAAATAATGCTCATTTTACACGAGTTGAGGGAAGAATGTTTTAGAAGAGCATGAACGAAGTCAGATGTACTGTGGTTTATCGTGTGTGCCTGGCCCTTTAAAGGATTTCCAATTGCTAGACAACTGCCCCTTTAAGAATTCTTATCTGTTAAAACTGCTTGACCCAATGACCTTCAGTGTTGGTTGCCTCTTGGGTTTCTGGGAACAGCATAGGATATAATAGTAACCAAGGCTAAGAAAGTAAATTGGGCTAGCAGAGTGAGAAGAGAGTGCAGTTGGTACAGAATTGAGTAGAGAGGAGAAGGCAGTTGTTGCAGAAAGTATTGCTAGGAGACATTTGAGCTGGGAGAAGCTGAGCTGAGCAGATAGGCTAGAACAGTTGTTGTAGTTAGGAGCTGCTAGTACTGGGAAAACTGGGAGAAGGGAATGTTTAAGCAGACGGATGGGGAACTGAGCGAGGAATGGTTGGGAGAAA